GATGATGATGATGATGCTGATGATGATGATGCTGGTGATGATGCTGCTGCTGCTGATGATGATGATCATGAAGCTGATACGGAGGAGGAGGAGGAGGGGGGCATGCTGATGATGATGATGAGGAGGAGGAGGAGGAGGAAGACGAAGCCGAGGAGGAGGATAAAGAGGATACTGTTAGGGGGGGGGGGGGGGGAGGTGGAGAAGGATGAGGGGGGAGGAGGAATGGGGATGCTGATTATGATGAGGCAGGGGAGGAAAAGGGAGGATGAGGAGGGGGAGGAGGAGGAGGAAGAGGAGGAGGAGAAGGAAGAGGCGCATGATGATGCTGAGGAGGAAGAAGAGGAGGAAGAGAACGAGGAGAGATGAGGATGATGATGCTGATGATGCTGATAATTAGGATGGGGAGGAGGAGGAGGAGGGGGAGGAAGAGGAGGAGGACGACGAGGAGGGGGGGGGGAACGAGGCGGAGGAGGACAAACAGAAGGAGGAGGATGAGAAGGATGATGCTGATGACGATGATGATGATGATGAGGAGAAGGAGAAGATGGCGGAGGAGGAGGATTAGTACCATGCAGGGGGGGAGGAAGCAGACAATAATGAGGAGAAGGATGAGGACGATGAGGAGGAGGACGAGGAAGAGGAGGATGAGGATGATGATGAGGAGGCGGAAGAGGAGGAGGGGAATGAGGATGATGACGATGCTGATGATGCAGATGATGACGATGCTGATGATGATGCTGATGACGGTGATGATGTGGATGCTGATAGTGATGATGCTGATGATGGTGATGATGAGGAGGAGAAGGAAGACGAGGAGAGGGATGACGAGGATGATGATGGTGATGATGAGGATGGTGATGATCAGGATGATGATGATGCTGATGACGATGATGATGATGATGATGATGATGATGATGATGATGATGATAATGATAATAATGATGCTGATGATGATGATGATGATGATGATGATGATGATGATGATGATGATGAAGGGGGAGGAAGAGGACGAGGAGGAGGAAGAGGCGGATGAATAATAGGAGGATGAGGAGGAGGAGGAGGAGGAGGAGGAGGAGGAGGGAGGAGGAGGACGAGGAGGAGGAGGCTGAAACGGACTAAATCGAATCCTGTTGGAAACGCTCGCTACGACGGGCGCGGAGGGCAGTCGAGGAGAAGCTGGCTCCTGACTGCAGGGCGCAGAAAACGCGCCGCAAACCCAGCCCGCCAACAGGAGGGTGGCAGCCGCCCCGAGGAGCACGGGCCACAAGGGCCAACCGGGGACCAGGAGAGGGAGGCCCAGGACTGCTGACAGACGCCACCCCCTTCCCGACCTTCCCCCTCAGACCTCCCCAACGAAGTGCAACGCTCCGTAGAAGCGCATGAACCGAAGGTTCCGCACGATCTGGCTGGACAGCAGGTTCAGCCTCCCAGCGCGGCGGACTCGACCTCAGCGATGTCGATTCCGAACTTCGCAAAGTCGACGACCTCGTGCTGGGCGCGGAGCCAACCCAAGAAACCGTCGCGGTGGATGCCCTTCTCTTCGAGTGTGGCCGCGCAGTCCAGGATGGTGCACTTGGCGAGATCCCCGAACGAGCCCATCACCTCGTCAATCCCGATCCTGCCGTCCATGCCTACGCAGCCTTTGCCCTCGATGCGCTCTGAGCCGAAGGACCCCTCAACCTTCTCCTTCTCTTTCTCGCTGGTGCCGCCCAGCGAGCAAAGCAAACCAGGGGTAGGAGGCCCCGCTTCCCCGGGTTTGCTGGGCGTGTCTGGACACATGGGCGCCGCTGGGACCTCCTCCACGAAGTGCCCGCCGACGCTCTCGACCTCCTCCTTCTCCAGATCCTTCGCGATGGTGCCGAAAGCTACGGTCTCCACCTCGACAAGCCCGTCCACGCTCTCGAACTCCTTCTTCAGAAACTTCACCTCCTTGGGACTGATGATGCCGACCAGCTTGTCCTCCTACAGCCTCCAGAGGGAAAGGCGGGCGTGCCTCTCGCGCTCCGCTTCTCGTTGGCCTCCAGGTTCTGCTCGCGCACGAGCTGGAAAGAGTCCACAGGGTCCTTGTCACGATGCCAACACGCCCAGCCATCTGTGGCTTCATCGCCGGCGTCGCTGAAGATGTCGAAGAGGTCCCAAGACGTCAATCCACCAGGTAAAGACGACGGGCGCGCGCGCGCGATCGGCTGCTCCTCCTGCGGTCCCGCTGGTTTTTCCTGACCTCCTTGTCCTCCCTCTTCGACTTGTCCTTCTTCTCCTTCTTGTTCTCCTTCTCCTTGTTGTTCTGCTTGTTCTTCTGTAGCCGGCTGCACGTGGAGTTCGCGCTGGTTCAACTTGTCGGCGTCGGCGTCTCCATCTGCTTCGGGATGGCGGCCTGCGGCTCCGGTTGGCCCGCCGGTGGTCGACTCCGGCTGCGGAGTCGCGCGCGCGGCGTCGGCCGTGCCAATGGGGTCCATTGACCAGGCGGTGGAGATGGTGGCGTTGCAGGCCCCTTCGCGCCGCAATCGATGGCCAGCATCGGTGTGCGTGAAGGTCGCACCGATCCAGCCGCCCTTGTCCATGGTCTCGCCTTTATAGGTGGCGGCCAGGTAGCAGCTCGCGCTGCCGCCACCGCCGCTGAGACAGCCGCCGCGGTGGCTGCCCCCACGAAGTCCAAGCTCAGCGCGGGCTGGTTGAGCTCCCTCGTACTCGTCGCCCATCTCGATGCAGAAGGTGCAGAACTTCTTCATGGGACGTGCTGGCGCCAGTCCTCGCCCTCCACGGTCTGACGCCATGGCATGTACGTTCGGTAGCTAGGCTCGGGGCGGCTGCGCCCGTCAGTACTGCGCCGCCGTCTATACCCTCCTCGGGCAGACAGGGGCTAGGAGGCGGAGGAGGAGGAGGAGGAGGAGGAGGAGGAGGAGGAGGAGGAGGAGGAGGAAGAGGAGGAGAAGGAGGAGGAGAAGGAGGAGGAGGAGGAACAGGAGGGGGAGGAGGAGGAGGAGGAGGAGGAGGAGGAGGAGGAGGAGGAGGAGGAGGAGGAGGGGGATGGGGGAGGAAGGGAAGGAATGAGGCAGGGAGGGAGCGAGGGAGGGAGGGAGTGCAACATCAAAGGAAAGGTGCACGCCCAGACAATTAGGGCGGGCTGGCTGGCCTAACGCCAGCGGTTACTAACACCTGAAAGTTTGAGGAAAGGCAGGAGGCCACAGAAGACATCTCCAGCTAGCTGGAGGATTCCCCGTGGCTAGCTGCTTCTCCCCCAGGCATTAGTCTGAACTCGAGTCGCCCTCGTCGCGGTGTGCGAACACTGAGGCAAAGGGTGCCTTCCTAGCTCCTCCACGCCGCGATGGGGACGGAGCGCAGGGCAACTCGATTCGAGGGTCCTCCTCGAGACGGAAAGAGTCGGCCTCTGCTTCGGCCGCCCGCAAGTCAACACCTCCCGCTGGCGCTGAGACAGCCTGGCACTTAGCGGAAGAGGCAGTATCGCATCCCCCCCCCCGCTCCAGACTCCACACCGCCCCCTCCTTGAGGTCTTGAATACCTTCAGGGTCTACCCTCAGTGTGGACCTGTAACTGGGGTAGAACCCTTTGAGCACGCGGCGCCACATACATCTCTTTTGAGCTGTCATTCGCTGGTCACACCTACCACTGAGGTTGGACTTCTTGAGAGACCCGTGGCCCACATGACACGCACACCGCGTGCGTATATGCAAAACTGAGCCGTCGTCACACGGCAGCCCGACAACGAAGTGACCATTTCGTTCCATCTCAGCGAAATCCCAATCGCCACTCGCTCCCGAACAACCGCACACGGGTGGGCGGAGCTGAGACCGAGAGGCCTTGAGACAGATACGGCATCTCCATCTGCCAGCCACGAATTCCCAGTCATGCTGGGGACGGGCAGGATGCCCTTCCCGTGCCCGCCTTTCTGTGGCGGCAAACCCCACATCTTTCAAATCAAGCCTGGGCCACTTAAAGAGCAAAGCCGCCGCGAGCTTGCACACAGTCTGCGCGACAAATAAAACTTTGTCCAGAGCCTGCACCTGATCAGGTGACGGTGCTTCGTGCAAGCGGACGCCAGCCTTCGCGGCCTGGTCAGCCTGGAAATTCCCTCTGCGGAGCTGCATTTCCTCCTCGGGCACACCCTCTTCCTCGAGGGATAGGTGTGCTTTGACTTTCCTCACAGAACGTATGTAGTGAGACACTCTCTGACCGTGCAACATTAGCCCAGCATAGGGCCTTCGGTAGAGTAGCTGGTCACCCAGGGGTCGATTAGCCTGGACGAAAACATTGGCGCAGTCAGTGTACATATCGCACTGGCCTTCAACCACCTGGCTAGAGCACCCAAAGGCGACAAACTCTCCAGCCTGGGAAGTTTGGGGGAGGCCAGCATAAACAGTGCCAAAAACACATCCAAGGAACCTGAAAGCCCGATCGAAAATCGCAAGACCCCAGGCCGCCCTGTTGAGTTCTGGCACAATACACCTGGTACAGCTCCCATCCAGGAAAAGCTCTCCCATCACCAGCTGCTGATCCTCCTTGACCTCCTCCTCCCATTGCCACAAGGTCTTGCACTCCTTGTCGGGTCGGGGCCGGTGGTCACCAGGGTGCGGGAACATTCCTCGGGTGAGAAGGAGCAGATCTTGCGGGTTTTCCTCATCCATAGAGTCCACCAGTTCCTGGCACTTCTTCGTTGCAATTTCAGCTCGCTCCTCGGCGCAGGCCTTGCAGTGCCACAATATGTGCAGTAGCGTGTCAGGTCCTTGACCGCGCAGCGGGCATTCGACTGATTCCAGCTGATATCCAAGGCAGCGAGCTCTGACTCGGGTCCAGCTGGCATCACAACCGATAGCTCTGATGGCAGCTTTGCCAGATGGTGAAAACTTGCTCGAGTGGAGCGAACGCTTGAGTATATCGTAACATAACCTCGGGACCTCCAGGACCGATTTTTGGGCAGCAACACGCTTTTGGCTCCGAAGTACAGCAAGACGCAACAAAACCTTCAAAAGCCCTGGGCTGACCTCCGTCAAGACCAGCTTCTCCCCGAAATCGTTTTCCAGCGTGACCCAATCTATGAACTTCCACTGGATTCTACGCAGGCACATGTACATGGCCGAGAAGGGACCCGTGACCTCGCGCCACGCCGAAGGCGGCTTCTTCTGGAAGAAAACGCACCAGGCCTCTCGGAGCTCCGCGAAACTGAAACACCAGCGGTGTGCACCTGCATGGGCACACCAGAGCTCCTTGGAATGTCTAACAATAGGCGCAACCGCCGCGAGCCATGTGGGCTCGTCTTCCATGACCAGCAAGCTTGTGAGAGATCTCCCCTTGCAACTCGGCCCCATCACGGAACCGGCCTGCTGCCGAACGCGGTGGAGCTCCCCGTCCGAAATCCCGTGGCACTCGGAACCATACAGGACCCCAGGAAGCGGCCCCGAGACCCAGATCTTCTTGGCATGGGAGGTGATATGCTTTTTCATGCCCCTGACCTTGCGCGTTTTAGCCTTCAGATTGGCCATGCGAATCTTGAACTTGGACTCTCTGAGGGCCTTCTTGATACACGCTTTCCTTCTGGACCGACCTGCCGTAAAGTCAATGCCCAAATCCACGACGCTATCGCACAGGGGCACCGTGCGGTCACCGAGGAAAAGCTGCAGCTCCCTGGCCACCGATCCGTCCGAGCAGACAAGGTTGCCCTGGCCAGCCTTGGAGAGCGAGATCGAGCAGCCGCACTCGTGGACCAGCGCGTGCTCCAGTTGCCTCGAACCTTCCTTGATGCCGAAAAGCACACCCTGAGCTTTCCCCGTGGAGTCCAGACCCGAGTCGTCCATAAACTGAGCCAGGAAACACCCCTGGGAAGTCGGAGGTTACTCATCGGCCCCAGGATATAAATACGGACCAGGGTCGTGGCCATGGAGCATCCAGCCACCACTCCCCTACGAGCAAAGAAAGGCCCCGCCACAGCGGAAGCCATGCTGACAAATCGTCCGTACCTGTAGGCCTGAATGCACAACTGCGTTATCTGCACAGGGAGCCCAAGCTTCCTAGCCTCCTCCTCCAACCTACGATGGGAGAAGTGCTCATAAAACTGCGTCATGTCCCAAAGGAGCATCGCCGAAACCTCCCCCTTCCTCGTGCTAAGCTCGGCTCGGGAAGCCTGCCGCCACACCGTGTCGGCAGCGCAAGCGAAGGAACTACCAGAGAAAAAAGCACGAGCGTTCCTGGCCTCCCACTCCGCAGCCAGCTCCCTTCTACACTTGCCCCAAAGCCTGAACAGGGAAACGAACAACCCAATGGGCCTATACCCCCCTGACGCTTTGGAAAGAAGACCCACCTGGATAATCTGGAGCTGGCGCGGCAGGCTGGAGAGCGATTCGAAGATCGCGAAAAAGAGGCGGACCACCTGCAAGCTGGCGTCGGAGAGCCACGAGTAATGCCGCATGTGAAACCCGTCCACTGCCTGGGCCGTGGACTGCTTGAAGGCAGCCGAGACAGACCTAATGCGATCTGGTGGGGCCATGGGGAGAGGCTAACACACCCCGTCAAACATGCGATCAGGAGCCTCCGAAGACGCCTCCCAAAGCTTGGCCCAGCTCGAGGCCTCACTCTTGAGCAAACTCAGAGGGTCCGAAAGCACCAAACCTCCCGCGGATAAGGTAGTTGTAGGCTTCCAACCAGGGGCCTCCTTAGAGACCAGGTGCGCATTTTTCCTCCCTCCTTGATTTTTGTGAGGAGCCAGTTTTTCCACCCGACCTCACCGTCACGACGAGCTTCGCCTTGAAGCTTGACAACATACTTCTGCGCAAGTGAGAGCACGTCCTGCGCAGCCTTCAGCCACACAGCCTGGTTCCAGTGCGAGCATGGGGGCCGCCCCTCTGGTGACGGCAGCGCTCGCGCTAAAGCTTGGATGGTGTCCAGATACTGGTTCCATTCATCACGCCCCTTGACCAGCGCGAACGACGGTGGGTCCAGGATAGCCTCAAGGGTCTTCTGAACCTCAGGAGCTCCCTCCCGAAACTCGATCATCAAGTCCTGGAACCGATGAGAGACCCACTTGCCCGCGAACAGCTTGGGGTGCCTGAAGGGGGGGGGGGGGGGCCTTGTCTTTGATGATGGGGACCCAATGCAGCTACGGTGACTTACTGCGGGCACCGTAGAAGGGCAGCGTTTCTTGAGTCAGGTCACGAAGCTCCTGCTCAGCCAGGTCGGCCCAGAGGCCGTAGGCCCAGTCCAACATACTTTGGGCCTCCGATCGATTACCGGTGAGCGCCGTCCCCAGGCACCCCTCGGCAGCGTTCTGCGCCTCGCTCCACTCGGGGGGCGCACGACCAACCCCAGCCGGCCTCTCCTTCGGAATGGGCGGAGGCTTGCGAAAGGTGAGCGCGCATAACTGAGACAGCCGCGGGTGCAACTGCAGGTGGGCGGGCTTGTGCGGTGACAGGTGCGCCACATGCACGATGCTCGCCTCCTGGATGCCCTTCGCTATGCCGCCAGTGCAAACAAAACAGTCCAAGAAATTCAGACCTCCCAACGATCTGCAGGTCCCCGAGCCCGATGGTTTGATCAAGGACCCTTCCAGCTTCTCAGGAAAACCAGACTCCAAGAGCAGCTCAGGCGCCATATTCCAGTCTCCCCCCAGAATAGCCTGATGCCCTGACATCTTCACCGTAGCCCCTGCGGTACTAAGGAGATCCAAGCTTCTGCTCGACAGCCCCTCGCTGTCGAACTGATACGCCGGCATGGCCAGGAACGGAACGTCCCCTGGAAGATGAACAAGAGCATTCGCCAGACGTCCAGGAGCGAGAACGGAGCCCCACAGAGGCTCATGCAAACCAAGGGAACTCCCGAGCCAGTATGCCCACGCCCCCTGAGGAGCCTTCCCCTTGACCAGGATTCGCAGGGCAGAGGATAGCCTTCCAGCCGTGACGGCTGCGCCACGAGGTCGCCCCCTTGATAGCCGACCGACTCACGATGTGGTGCTCTTGCAGACAGATGATGTGCGCCTTGGTATTGCTCAGCCACTCCTTGAACGAGTTCCAGCAGGTGGCGTTACACGTCTCCACTCTGAGGCCGAAACCAGAAGGGTCGGGCGGCCCTGGGGGTGCCTGCAGGAAGTCAAAAGAGCTAGTGGCTCCTATCTGACTGGGGACCCCTGGGTGACCGACAGCACAGGCCGAGAAAGGCGCACAGGGCAGAAGACCGCGGGGGCTGCCTCCAGCAGCCTCCTCAGAAGACGACCCCGATGTCGCTGTCGTGCTCGGAGCTCTCGTGTTGGTCGACGGTCGCGCCGAAGCCGAAGTCGGCGCTCCTCTCGCCGTGCTTCCAGTCCCGCGAGCACTGGTAGAGGTACATGGCGATGCGCTCGACGGAGTAGCCGAAAGCCGCCTCTTCTCCCCACGCCGAGAAGGACCGCCATCATTCGCCGCGTGAACGCGAACATGAGTCGGCGAGCGCGCCGACCCCGCACCCCTCTCGGCAGCCGCCCAGGGACGCACTCCCTCGCCCTGCCCAGAAGGCGCAAGGCTTGCGCCCAGCGCTTTACCGTCCCCGACCGACTGGGACCAGGGGAACGTGGAGCCGTCCACCGGGAGGGCTGCCGAGGGTCCGCCCGCGGCGGAGGACGCTCCCCCTCCATTATCCCCCATTGGGGGGCCTCTGGCAACATTGACGGCTGCCAGGGGTGGAAATGGGGTCCGACGAGCAACTCGGCCTTCGCGTCAAGCCTGGAGACGATGGGGCCGAACCAGTCGACGTGGACTCCGCCGCTGACGTAGCCGATGTAGAAGAAAAAGGTACTGCCTTTCGCCAGCCTCGACTGCCCACCAGCCTTGGCCACATCGCAGTAGTTGAAACGTACACGGCCACCCCTGGCCGATCGTGCTGACCGACTGCCATGTACCAGAATGCCTCGTAACGTGTTACCCACACTCTGATGCGCCCGCCGTGGCAGCGGTCGCAGCCTTGCTTGCCCCCTTCGCCGAAGCCGCTGCGACAGCAGCCCGAGCCTCGGCCTTGAGCCGCTCGCTGCCACCAGCTCCACCCGCAGTGCCTTACTGGCCAGCAGGAAGATCGCCCTCAACTTCAGGCGGAGCAGGCTGCCCAGGCTGCTCCACTGCTGCAGGCTCTGGCTCCTCCTTGGACTCCTCCTCATCTGCCGTACGGCGCTTCTTCGCCGCCAGCCGCTCCTGCAGGGCCTTTTGCTCAGCCTGCAGGGCTTCGCCCTTCTGGCGCACTTCGCCGAAGAAGCTGCCCGCCATCTGCTTGAATGACTCGAGCATCTGCTTCTTCCTGCGCTGCGCCTCCGCCAAGGCCTCGGGACCAAGCTCCTCGAACTCCGCGTAGCCGAATAGCCCGTCATCGTCGAGGTCCAGGTCGTCCAAGTCCCCGTCCATGAGCTTCGCCAAGGACAGCTTGAGCGGTCCCCCAGCACCAGTCGCCGCAACTTTGCCAGGGGCGCCCACACCAGCGGCGGCTTCGGCCACCGCCTCCTTGCAGTCGGCCTCCGCGCTCTCGAGCTCGGGGGCCAACTCGGCCACCAGCACGCGCTGCTTGTCCACTTGCGCGAGCAGGTCCTGGAGCACCGCATTCTCCGCCTCAAGCTTGCCCTTGAGTTTGCGGGCATTCGCATGTGCTTTGTTGGCCCTGAGTTGAGCTGGCTGCTCGCTGCCCTTGCCAAGCTGGTCCAGTAGCTGCTTGTACTTCTTGGCCGTCTGAACGTCGCCTGACTTCTCGGCCAACGTGACCATAGAGCGCAACTCCTCCTTGGAGAGGCCCGTGGTGGCGGCCTGGGACTTTGCCTGGATGGCAGCACGGTGCTTGTCGGCCATCTCCTTGTCTCCTTTGCCCTCAGCAAAGGCGACGAGTGCCTGCATGGCGTCCACTCCGAGGTCCATCTGACGACCCCGAGCATGAGCAGCTCCGCCACCAGCAGGACGAGCACGATCCTTCTTCCACGGCGGCTGAGCGTCCCCGCCGTCGCGCTCTGCACCGCAATGCTTGCACCATCGCCACCGCGCCTGGTTTTTGGCACAGCGGCAGTCGGCCTGGGAGCATCTCCGCAACTCCCTGCCCTCCGACCTGGGTCGTGACGACGCCCTCGACGGAGCCCTCGACCGAGGCTTGCCGCCATCAGCACCCATGTCGGCGGGGTGGCCGTCGCCGTGGTGCCCGCGCAGCAGCCGCCTCGCACGCACGACTGCCAGCAAGCCGCGAGCCTCCGCTCGCCGCCTCCGCAGCCGCCTGTGCCAGGCCGGGGACGGCTCCCGATGGCGGCGCCCGCGGCCGAGTGTGACGCCCACCGCCCCTGGGGCAGCAGGCTGGGGGCTGAGACAAACGGGCCCCTGTGGCCCGCAGGTCCGAGCCAGCCTGAACAGGAGGAGGAGGAGGAGGAGGAGGAGGAGGAGGAGGAGGGAGACGATGATGCTGCTGCTGATGATGAGGAGAACGAGGCGGATAAATCTGATAATGATGACGATGCTGATGATGATGCTGATGTTGCTGATGCTGCTGCTGATGATGATGATGCTGATGATGATTATGATGATGATGCTGCTGCTGCTGATGATGATGATGATGATGATGATGATGAGGGGGAGGAGGAGGAGGAGGAGGAGGAGGAGGAGGAGGAGGGGGAGGGGGAGGAGGAGGAGGAGGAGGAGGAGGAGGAGGAGGAGGAGGAGGAGGAGGAGGAGAAGGAGGAGGAGGAGGAGGAGGAGGAGGAGGAGGAGGAGGGAGGAGGGAAACTCAACTGACGTGCGGGTCCGTTCGATGATTCAGTGCCCGCCCATGCGCGTATGCACACTGAGCTGGCCACCGCTGCTGAACGAAGGCGGCGCGGGCGCCGAGAACGAAGCACGCTGTTCGACTTTGATTCGGCGGTAGAGGCGGTCGGCCAGGAGAGTCGAGGTTGGGGGAAACGGCGGTCGGGGGGGAAATGAAGCGGACGGCCCATCCCCCCCTGGAGGTCAGCGGGCAACCTCAAGGCATGGCGGGCGGCGCCGGCCGCGGCGCGCTACTTGTAGTCGGAAGGCGGGAGGGCCTCATCCTTCGTCATGTGGTACGTGCGCGTGGCGACCGACATCCTGGCCACCGCGGTCGGGATCCCGTTCTCGCCGTGGAACTCGGCGTCGAGCGGTGGCAGGCCGATGCGCGCCAAGAGCTGGCCACTCAGCTGGCCGCGCGGGCGGGCCAGCTAGTGCCACGACTGGCGGCAGAGCATGTCGTACTTAATCTGGTCGCTGCCCTGGCCCTCGACGCAGCCGAAGTGGCAGCGGCGCTTCGCCGGGAGGACGTGCATCCTGCGCGGTGTGGTCCACGCGCCAGACAGCATCTTGGTCGCAGACCAGACCTGCGCGGGCGGGAGCGTGGCCAGGTACTCGCGGAGCCTCAACCATCGAGCAAGTAGATCAAGAGGTGCGCGTTCCAGTTGTAGGAGGTCAGGCTGGTCGAGCTCGACATGCTCGGCGGGCTCGTTCGCGGGCCCGAACTGGCTCCAATGTCCTGGCTATCTGGCGGGTGCTCTGCAAGGGTGGAAGCCATGCCAGCAAGCGACGCATGATGGCGCCGGCCATCGTGTCAATGAGAAGGTTCTCGCGCAACACGCTCATGCATGCAGCGCGCTCATGCATGCGGGTCCAGCTTGAAGAGCGGCTCGAAGTTCAGAGCGCGCGGCTTGCTTGTGTCGCACGGGGCAAGGAGCCGACGCCTCCCGCGTTGGTGACGGGCTCATCGCTCCCTATCACTGTCGAGTGGTACGGCCTGTTGGCGTGCCGCGTCGAGTTGGCGAGAAGTTACAGGTCGTCGAAGGTGCCGTGAGTATCTTGCACTGTCAGCAGGGCGCGTTGTCGAAAATATGGTAGAAGAAGAAGCCATCATTTATCATCACGTCGTTTATCAGAACGTCCGAGAAGAGCTTGTGTGTTTCAGAATGCAATGTGCAGACCCTTCTGTGCGGACGACAAGAGCCACGGGCTCCATCGGTGGCTGCAGTCACTGCGCGGCTGTGATGGCGTCTGTGAAGTTGCTGGCGAACTCGGTGTTGATGTCTCGCTGCGTGGCGTCGTCGAAGCCGCGGTCGAGGTCAGCGCTGGGCCACTGCAGGTATGTGGGAGCGTCAACAGAAGCACCATGTGAAGACGAACCAATGCTTCTCCACGCTTAGAGGCGCAGCCGAGGGACCGGTGATCTCGTATATCCAGAAGCGTCTTTTTCTTTTGCATGATTTTGGCGAGGCGCTCTGCTTATACTTCTTGGCGGACATCTTCGGGCTTGTGTCTGCTGATGCGTAGAGAGGAACAGCTCCACCAGTACTAGTAATGACCGAGAGAGAGAGAGAGAGCGCTAACCTTGTCCAGGACGAAGCGCAGAATGGAGACGCTGTGCGACAGGTTCCGCCAACAGCGTGCCGCCGCCCAGCTGGAACGAGTGGCGCTTGGCGGGGCCGACGGTATTTAAGATGAAGTGGGCCCGCTCGACGTTGGCGGCGAAGAACTAGGCGTCGAGGGCCTTCTCCAGCTCGGGCTGGTTGACCTCTTGCGGGCTGCTGCACCAAAAGACCGTCGGGTCGGGGTCTCTGTCCCGTGTGCCGAGGCTGTCGATGTTGATGGCGGGCGCTCTGTGACGGGACGCTTCGCGAATTCGTGTCGGTCGCTGAATGCGGAAGTGACGGCAATGAGTGACTCGAGAAATTCCGTGCTGGCGGCTGCGGTGACAGACTTGGCAGTGGCTTCGAACTTGGCGGCA